ATATTTAAGATGCTTTCAAATGAAGCCTAATGCAATAACACAAATAATGGATAATTTACTGTCCAACTCACTCCTGCACATTCTTGCTATCTGCGACTATGCAGATTCGTATCTAAGGACAGAACGCGCTTATTAAGCTTTATATTAAGGATTTACATTACATCTGTTTATTCGTATGTTTTGCAATAAAAGCGGTTTATATTGAATTAACTAATCTTTTCATAGGTGCATTTCTAAACTGCTTAAAAAGATTTATTGCACACCAAGGATTATGCCACGATATTTATTCAGATAACGGAACTAATTTTGTTAGAGCACAAAATTTAATTGAATTTAAAAAACTCGTCTCGCATAAAGAAAAAAATTCAAAAATAATTTTTTATAAATAAAAAGATATAATGGTATATGATTGCATTGTTCCTCGTGCATTTCATATGGGAGTTATAAAATTGGCGAAGTCACATTTGAAGCGGATCATTGGGAACGCAAAGAAGAATTATGAGGAATTATATATACTTTGTATAAAATACTTGGTATAAAATACAGACAGTTCTTAATTCTCGCATCCTAAGTCTCTTATCATCCCGATGATCTAACTTCCTTGAGTTTTGGTCACTTTCTTGTCAGTAATTCGCTTTGTGTCTTCCTTGAACTTGACCTGCAAAATCTAACAAAAGATAGATTGAACAAATTCCAGATTATTCAGCAGAACATACAATATTTTTGGAAGCAATGACAGAATGAATACTTGCATCAACTACAACAACATAACGGACAATGACAAATTTCTAGTATAATGGTTATCAGGAATGATTTTCTCCAAGCCTACAATGGCGATTAAAATGAATTTTCAAACTACATTCTGGAATTGCTAGAGTAGCAATAATCAGAACGATGGAACAATTAAAAAATGACAAAAGTCTGTATTTTATCATTGGATGAAGATGTCACAACTGTATCATTCCAGAATGAACGAACATTAAAAACATTGAGAGCTTAGCTCAATGTTAGATTCATTTTTAATATAATTATTTTTTTTAATATAATTAATATAGTAGAATAATTTATCTACTTATTACGTATTTATATTTTATTAATTTCATATATTATTGAATTATGATTTTCTATGATCTTTTATGTGACATAAGTGATTGTTTTACGTGTATTAATTAATTTTAATCGATGTAATTATGAATTATTTAATTCTAGAATTTTGTATTTATTATAATTTATATTGTATTGTATAAAATGGTTTCACGTATTTGTTATCGGATAATTTTAACTATATGTATGATTGAATGTAATGCGTTCAAAACAGGCAACATGTAGAGACATTGAACAAATAGTACAAAATTGTGCTATGAGGATAATACTGTTTTTTGAGAAGATCCTTAGAATTATATATTCATTAAAAACACTTTGGCGTGGCTGGAGTGTGAATATCGTCTTGGGATTTAAAACATTTTTAAATCATATCAATCTCAAGGACAATCGGCATTATTCTACTTGAGAAGAATTATTATATTTGCAGATCAGTTTCTTATGAATAGCAGATTCTGTGAATGGCATAACTTCTCATTTTAATTCTAAAATTTTTCTTGGACTGGTCTATGATATTATTGATCGCTTGTACAAGCGTTTGGATAGAATTTTCTTGATCTTGAAACTTTTTGAATCATAATTCTTTCAAAATTTAATAATAAACGTAAACTTTCATTATCATCATTAGCATATGAATTTTACTTTTGATTGTTTTAGACTAAAACTTTGTTAACAGTGAACTTTGTAATAAATTTATTTTATTATTATATACCATAACTCCAGGAACGGCTTGGAGCTAATATAGATTTTCTATTAATTACTAATATTCTATCATTCCGTTAGGTATTTATAGTATGAAAAATTACTAAAATTTTAAAAATGGATTTCAATTTCTCAAAAAGATTTAACCATATTAAAATTTTTTTTAATTTTTTAAATATTTAATGGATCTTAATATTTCATTTAAAATTCGTATTTCAAATTTGATTTAATTTTTAAAATAATATTTATTTTATTTTTATAATACTTTATATTATTTTTATGTACATATATTTATAATTTTATATTATTTTATTATTCATAATATTTCATCAATTTTGAAATATTTTTAAAAAATGAGTTATATTATTATAACAAAAATTTTTTAATATTCATAATTGTTGAAAAATGAAAAATATTGTCTATTTTAGAAACTAAAATTTTATTTTTTAAGATTTGAGATACAATTTATAAATATTAATTTTTAATTTATAAATATTACAAAAATTATTAAAATTAACTAATTTTAATTTATCAAGGGAGGTTGAGAAAAAAAATTTAATTTTTTTCAAATTTAATTAATTATATCTTATATTTTTTTATTATATGATATTGTAAAATCAAATAATAAAAAAAAGAGATTTGTAAGATTGAGAGAAATTGAGAGAAATTAGGAAAAATACTAGTAATAATGTAATTTTTGTCAATTATAAATTTTTTATTATAATTTTTATAAATTTTATTAAATTTTTATAATTTATATTTTTTAAACAAAATCAGTAATTTTATTAGCATTGAGCAAATTAATTAATATCACTTAGCAATATTATAAATAAACAATAATTTGATAATTTCAATCAAATAATTCAATCAAATAAAAAATTTCCAAAAGCATATTATAATAATATAAAAAGATTAAAATGGTTTTTTGTAAATTTAAATTTGATATATATTTTAAAATATAATTTCTATTGTAATTATGAAGTTACATAAATTAATAAAATTATTGTTTTTCCTTTCAAAATTAAAAAAAAAATTAAATTTCTTAAAATTTAAAATCAAAATCGGTATATATGATACATGTTATATGTTATCTATGTTTATATTTTTATATTTTTTATTTCTATTTTTTTATTATTATTTTAAGATTTTTATAATATTTAAATTTAATAGATTTAGATTTTACAATTTTATATTTATATCGTTGAATTCTTGTAAAGATTTTTTTTAATAATATTTTTTTAATTGTATCATTAGATATATTACGGACAGATAGATTATCAATATAGATGCATTTTGAAATTGGAATCATATATTGGATAATTTATTAATAGTATTATTTCAAATTGTTAAAAAATTTCATTATTTAGATGAAAAATTTCTATTTTCATTTTATTATTAATTACAACTTGATTAAATATTTAAGAATTGTTATTATTACAATTATATTATTACCACAATTTATATTATAAAAATAAATTTTAAAAACTATTAATTTAATATTCTAAAATTATAATTTTTTTTTCATCAATAATTTATTAAAACTAAAAAATTTATGATTAAATCTAAATAATCAATTTTATATATAATTTTTAAATTATAAATTAATAGCTTAATTAATATAATAATAATTTTTAATAATTTATTTTTTATATTCTCCAGAATCTTTCATTTATAATATTATAATCCTTAAGAAATAAATAGATCAATTAAGGAAAAGACAAAATATCGCATTTCCTATAAATTTTTGATATGTACATAAAATATTTACAACTGAATTATTAAAAATTATAACTTTTTTATATTTTATAATATTTTTATCAATTTTTAAAATATTTTATAAGAAATCAATTTTTTAAAAAATATGCATTAGTATTCATTTTAAGTTTTTGAAACATAAAAATGAAAATATAATTGTTTAATTTTAGAGTATTATTTTAATTTTTCTTGTTAGATTGTGATACTGTTGTGATTTATTTAATATATAAAATTTTAATTAAGGAAAATATAAATATTATATGTACAATAATAATAGTAGCAGTAATAATAGTAATGTTATTATTATTAGAATTACAATCCATTTAGAGTTTTCTTTATTTATCTAGTTTTTAAAGTATCCACGAACATTTAAAGGAATTTTCTGTAATAATTTGAGTTTATCAAAAATTTGTATAATTTATATTAATACATCAATTTTATTAATTTTATTTTAATATAATTTAAATTAATAAAAAATTAATAATTAAAAAATATTTTAAAAATCGAAAATGTAGTAAATAATTAGTATATATACATATATGTTCATACATATAAAAAGAATTCATAAATAAAATTTCTTTGTATTTATAACTATTTTCTCTTTATTTATTATTTTAATTATAGTTAACTTATAGAACTTATAGAAATTTTTCTTTTCAGGTATTTATTTAAAAAATAATTAAAATAACTTTAATGCTCTTTGTTCTAGGTTAGATAATAGTTTTACTATTATTATACATAATATAAAAAATTCAAATAAAAAATCCAAAATAAAAATTTGAATTTCTGATTTTAATCTTTATTAACAATTGTATTATATAAAAAGAAAAAAGAGAAAATATATTAAATAATTAATATAAATATAAAAAAATAATACTTATGCTATATTATCAACACTTATTGCATTAAATTATAATTATTTCATTATATTACATTTCACTCGTTTATGTAAGTTATCATGACAACATATTATTGAAAGCAAATATTTTATGAAACTAATACGGAAATTCGAAACTAGTAATTTCTAGTAACTTGATTGATTAAATCATTGATGCCAAAATCTCATCATAATTTATATCTAAAATAAACTATACAGTAATATTACAGTATAATAAAAGATATAGATAAGTATTTAAAAAAAGAAGCATAAAGAATAAATGAATTATGAAATGAATTGTATGTGTATTTAATAATAAAATAATAAGCATTTATTATATTCAATTTATTACAATATTACATTCAAATTTAATATTTTTCTTATTCCTTTTTTTTGTTTTTGTAATTTTTATTTAATATTAATATTAATATGAATATATTTACATATATATATATATATATATATATTTATATTTATATGATATGTGAATATAAGATTGCATTGGGTGTGTTTAGTATAGATATATATTCAAAATTCTTTTAAAAAGTATATTATCTATATATTATACACTTCATGAACAGAAGGTAAAGTTGAGTTGCGCAGGACCATTGCGCAGGACTGTTGCGCAGTCAGTTAAGCACAGTCCACTGGCGAAAGTAGTGGGGCTGCCCAAGAGAAAGATGGCCGCCACCAGCGAGGAATCGAGTGTTATGGAGCCTTCTCAGACGAATTCCGGGCAAAATCAGCCCGTTGATCCTCTAAAAATGCTCTATCCGATGGTAAATGAAGAGGAAACGCCACTACCACGCTCATGGAGTCCGAAGGACAAATACAATTACATCGGCCTCTCCCAAAACAATCTTCGTGTTCACTACAAAGGTACGTTTGACTAGTCTTAATCTTTCTCAACTATTTTTCTGCCATTCAGAGAATTCTCGCGGATGATTTTTAATGTTCTCCGAAACGAAGGATCGAGGAATGATTCCGGCCAATAGGATTCGATTCTTACTCGATACGGACGAATCGTTGACGGAGCTATAATATCGATTGAAAATGGCAGAGCTCCGTTTCGCGTGTGTCAGCGACCTAAACAAAGGAATCAGCTGATCGGTCATGGTCTCTGTTCGACTTTCTCTTGATCACTCATTTTTTATTAAATCCCAAGATTTAATTCAAATATCTATTCATCAATCGAAATTTTCGTGGATCTATGCCTTTCTGATTTCTTTCGGACATTTATGGAAAAAATGAATCTGCGTAGAGAAGGAGTAATGGCAATGACAGTTGCGATGTTTGAATAGTTTTGTTCTTTCATCTTCTGCTAAGTTTTTCTTTTTTTCCTTTTCTTTTTTTCTCTCCAGTTTTATTGTCAATCAGTTTTAAAGTGAACAAATTTTAAAAATTGAAAAAAATATTTAAATTATGTATTTATAGACGTTTAATAAATTAATATAAATTAAGATACTAATAAGAACAGTGTTATTGTTATTGTTATTGTATCCTGATTTTCAAATTAAAATTGAAATTAATTTAAATATTATTTTTATTAAAAATGTTGTGTTCCATATTTGAAAAAATAATACTAATTGATTAATAATATTAAATACTCTTAAAAGTTATTTTTCTTTTAAATTAAAAAATCCAAAAATTATATTATATTATATTATGTAATATTATTTGCATTTAATTAATATTATTTCAATTTGTAAAACAATATATTTTTAGATTAATAAAATTATATATTATTATATATTAATAAAAAATATGAATAGATTAATTGCAAAAAATATGTTAGTTAATAAACAAAATTTTTTAAATAAAATTAAATATTTCATGAATTAATGTAATTATTTTGTATTTATAATAAGATTATAAATCTTAAAAAGACTGTAAATTTTTTGTGACAAATACTATGAATTAAAATTTAATAATATTGGTGATATATTAGAGTAGCTTTAATAACAAAATGTTTATAATAAATTTATTATAATATTTTCAATATTTATTAATATAATTGATTTCCTATACAGTTTTATTTTATAATTTTGTTTTTTTTTCTTCATACAATAGAAATTATAAAATATCTTAGATCTCTTGCGAAAATAAATGTTTTCAAAAAAAAGATCTCAATTTTCATTATAAAGATTAAAATTATTACAATAGTAAATATATATTTAAATAGCTATTATATTATTATAATTAAATTGAGAATGATTAAAGTTCTCTATTATAGGAATATTTATTTAATAAAATAGTTAAAATATAAAATAAACTTAAATAAACTTCATCAATTATAATGATATAAGAAAATATCTTATGCAATATGAAACTATATTAAAGGATGAATACATTACAAAAAAATATTTTTGTGATAAAGTCATTTTTTCTCTCTGTTGTTTTCAAGATTATTGATATTTTTTTATATGAATATATATGTTTTTTCTTGCATATTTTATATAACATATATTTAATATATTTATGTTATATTTAATATATTTATATTTTTATTTTTAAATATATTTAGAGATTTAGAGATAACTGCACAATTTTGAAGTATCTCCTGATTCTCAAAATTAAGATTTATTATTTATATTATCAAGATCACAAACTTTAGGTATCGACGGACGAAAATTTACGAATATAAATGTATAAATATGTTCTAAAAAACTTCACTGTTTTTTTTTATAAGATATATATTATATATTTTTTTAAATACTTAATTTTATTATTTTTTAATTATTATTATATATTTTTTATATAATTACTTTTTTTAATTATTTAAATAGTAATAATTTAATATATTTAAAATCATGGTCTTTCATAGCTATATATTACTGGAATAAATAATAATCAATCAATAATGATCTTTTGATATACAATTATATATACAGATTTTAATTATTTTCTTTTTTATGTTTTTTAGCGTTATAGATTGTTTATTATAAATTCGTTATAGATATAATGTTATTTCATAGATATAATATTATTTTCTTTATAAGAAAAAACTTCTTTTTTTTTATTATGAATAGCTTATTATTATTATAATGTATTATTAGAAAATAATTAATTTTTTTTTTTAAATATTTATTTACATTCGCACATTTTCGTCCGTTAAAATCTTTATCTTAATAGAAACAGATATGATGTTTAATTTAAATCACTATTATATTAAGGTTATCTAATTAGGAATTTTTGAATATATTTTAATATCAATTGAAATATATAAGGAAAACAAATATACATTATGTAAAAAAAATATCGATAACTTCAAAAAATTAGAAAAAAAAAAATCTTTAATTTATTCTTTGATTCCATTTAATTGCATACAAATTTTTTTTTTTAATTATCATAATTAAAGAATCTTAAATATATATATAATATTTTTAGTAATAAAATATTTACTTTAAATTTAAATATTTACTTTACTGTTTAAAAAAAAATATATTTTTAATCAATTTAATTGCTTAATTATCACATTTTTGTAAAGAATATTTTAAATAATATGATTTTTGCGTTAGTTTTATAAAATTAAATAAAAAAATCACATATATTGTATTTTTATCTTTCTTATTTTCTTAATAATCATAAAAATTAATAATTTTTTTATTCATTTTACTTATTTTGTTATATTAAATTATAATTGTAATATATAGTATCTTAATACAGAATTAAATGAAAAAAATATGCAGTTATAAAAAAATTATATTTAATTTCAACAACATGTATTATAATTTGTTTTGTCAATAATATTATGAAAAGTATTAAAAAATATGTTATTTAAATTACATATATAGATTCTGTATCAATTAAATTATATGTTTTTTTGCAATAAATTTAATAGATAATAATTAATTTGTTATTTTTGTTTAATTTTATAATATAATTTCAATAATTAAATGATTATAAATTTAATGTTTCTTTTATTACATATTATTTGAAATATATAAATTTCAGTAACAACAATTTACAATTTTAATCTCTATATCTATTAGAAACTGACATTGTATTATACAATAAATTCATTTTATAAGAAAAATAAAGAAAGCATAACGAATTTTGTGTATGTTATTTTATTACTGTTAGCCATAACATTCTATTCTTATATTCAACGTTTTTTATTTTTAAATATTTATTTAAATTATTTAATGAAACAGAAGATATTATTAATTTTGTTTCTTTATAATATAAAAGAATTTTTAATATATATCTTTTGCTAAATTGAGAAGTTCCAAATATTTTACAATTATAAATATATTTTATTAATTTCTAATTTTATAATTTATAATTTCTTTTTTAAATTTTATTTAAAAAATGCAAAAATTTTTTTTATTAGAATTAATGAAAATTTAAAAAATTGAATATTTTAAAAATTTAATAGCTTTTTAAATTGTTTAAAGAAAATTAAAAACAATTAAAATATAAAATTCAATCTTATTTTTTCTTGTATATTTTTTTATTTATTCCATTCCATCATTTTCTATTCTTTTTTATTTTAGATTAACTTTTTTTTATTATATAATTATTTTTTATTAAATTTTAAATATTCCAATCATTTCAACATTTTACAATTTTTATTTGCGTATTATATTTTTAATGACATTTTTAAATTTGACAACTATTTAATATATAAATATTTGCAAAATAAAAAATAATATTTTCAAATAAAAGAATTTTTCAATTTAATATTTTTAATTCTTCAGTATTTAAAATGATCAATTATATTATATCAATCATTTAAATTGTTTTTAAATCATTTATAAATCATTCATAAAAGAAACAGTTTATTTAAATTTTATTTTGATAAAATGACAAACAATTATATAAAAACAATAAATATAATATATACAAATTATATATACAATATAAAAAAAAAGAAAAAATGTAAAATTTATAATTTTCGTTTGTAATTAAATTCTCGTTTGGTAAAATTTTCGTTTTTTAATTAAATTATTTAATTTTTTTGAATCAATTAACATTTTTTATAACGAAAGTAATAATACTGTGAATGTTTTTATTTTTAAGCGAAATTTAATAAAAGTAAAACTAATCATATAATTTTATATTATTAAAATTATTAATATAAAATTAATATGACAATATAATATTATTATAATTATTTTATTATTAGAATTTGAATTTCAAGTAATAAATATTGAATTAATTGTTATAATATTCTTGTTAATAAAACTTTAAATAAAATTTTTAAAATCTATATAATATATTTAAATTTTAATATAATATTTAAATAAATATTTGATAATATATTTAAATAAATATTTAAATTTTAAAATAAAAAACACATGCGTGTATGCGTGTTAATATTAATTTGTTAATTAAAAGTTTTTTTTTTCATTATAATAATTACATTGCAAATATATTGTCAAAATATAATGCAAAAAAATACACTATTTATTGAAATTATATATTTGAAACTTAAAATATATATCATATTGTAAAGTTTTATATTGTTTAATAATCAATTTTATAATCAAAATATTTTGAAAAATATTTATCGGATATAAATTTTATTTTAAATATAATATAATATAATTTTATATTATATTATATATTATAATTTTTCATTTTAATTTAATCATTTTATAATATTATGTAATATAATATAATTTTTCTTATTTTTACTGGATAAAACAATTATTTTATTTCATTATCTTCATAATTTTATTGTAATTTAAAAAAAAATTTTTATTTATATTTTTTAGTGAGCAATATACTTTTTTATTTTAAATAATACTAAATAAATTATTATAAATGTTAATTAATGTTTTTATATATATATAAGATAATTATATTTTATTTTTGCACAAAAATTAATATAAAATACTGTGATAAATTTCAATTTTTTTTAATTTTGTAATTTT